ATGTCTGACATTAAATGTTTTGATTATATTTTAATTATTTTTAGAGAGCAGTCTTACAATACGAAAGTTGACAATTCCTGTAACTAACTATAGTTACTAATAAGACTGTAACATAAAATCAATAACTATTAATAAAGCACTAGCCCAATCTATATTGAGCTACTGTATCCCTGTTTGGGGAGGTGCGGCTAAAACTCATTTAATAATTTTAGAAAGAGCGCAGAGGTCTCTCATAAAAGTAATGTTTTTCAAACCGTACCTTTTTCCAACTTTTGATTTACACAATCAGTACAAATTACTGACTACTCGTCAAATATATATATTAAATTGTATACTTAAAATTCATCATCATTTACCTTTTGTTCCCTCTCAAATCCAAAACAGTAGGCGTAAATCCGTTTGTCCTATCCCAACTAGTGAAACCAAATTTAAGAAAATACAATACAATTATCAATCGTCCTATCTTTATAATAAACTAAACAGAAGACTTAACATCTACAGACTCACAAAATCGAATGTGAAGCGTGTTCTAACGGAGACATTGCTCACGTGTAACTATGCTGAAACTGAAAAATTCATAATTAAATTTAACTTTTCACAATTATAATAAGATTAATATGATGTTAAACGCACACACGCACGCACACACACAGACACATACATACACACATACATACACACACACAAGCACACACACACGTACACACACACACTTTTTTTCTACTTACTTTATAAAATTGTAAACCCTGCTTTATATGAATAGTTCTATAAATGTGTGTTACAAGTCATTGTTGACGTTCTAGTTGTCTTGGTGGATGAGCGGGGCACCCAGTAACACGGGTTTGTACCTAGTACAGGGGCCCTCGCAACTTGTTTCATTTGTAACCTTTTAGTCAATAAAGTTGATTTTTATTTTTTTTATTTTTTTTATTAATTATTAAATTACATACATCCCCAATGGCGACAATTGAACTTTTCTATCATGGACATATTTATTGCAATTCTGTAGTAATAACTTAAAATTAATTGTTTCTAAATATTTTTCACATCCTTAAATAAAAAATAAACATATGACTCTGATAAATGTTATAACCCGTTCAATAATATTTTATCTTTATCACACAAACGGTCGCGAGGTAATATCGTGACTTAAGAAAAGCAACAAGAAATAAAACGAATTTGTTACCTTATATTATAACAATAATTGTATAACACTACGAATAAGAGTAAGTAGTGGTAGTTTATTAATGATGAAATCATTCTAGACGAACTTTTCTGCAAGCCTGGCGGGAATATAAAATCATCAAAAACAAGGGAACTTTCTTGTGACTCGTTTATTGGATAACATGCTTTTGCCGCGACTTCGTCCGCGTGGACTTCCGGCAGATTTTTGGTTCTTCCCGCATAGTTTCCGTTCTTGCGGGGTTTTCGGAATGGTCGAGTTCCCGCAGAATTTTCAGGATAAAACCTATTTTTTTTTTATTCACAATGAAGTAGTCTTAACCAACAACATATCTATTTGTTTATTTGAATAAAGATACATATTATTATGTTGATACAACTTTAACAAATTATTTCGACCAAAGTAGGTACCATAAAAACGGTTTTTGTGAGTTAATCTTATAAGATAGACTGTACTATCCAACACAAGAAGAATTATTCAATTCAAACCAGTAGTTTCGGAGATTAGCGCTTTCAAACAAGCAAACAAACTCTTCAGCTTTATAATATTAGTATAGATAATAATTATTTAACTATCGGGTAATGATATCCATCCTTACAACATATGTGTTCATCGGAGATTATATTACATGATCACCCACCTAGCCATCATACTGTTCTAGTAACCAAACCTGTAACTAAAATCATAGTTTGATAATTAATAATATATATCAATTTAAGTTCAACGTATTTATATATTTTTTGTTACAATTTAAGTAATTATAAAGTAAACGTATTTTAAAGTATGGAAATATGCATTCTGTTCCGTTTTTGCTGATAATAATATGTTATAAGAAAATTTTGCGTACGTAATAAATGACTAAATAAATTATTTGCTACGTCTATAACAAAAAATATTCACATTCATAGAATATTATGATGATGACTTATAATATTAACGTTTTAATAAGAATTTGCGGACAATTACCTCTAACTCAGAATATATCAGTTCTTCTATCGGTGAGAGTGAGCGAGAGTGAGTGAGTGAGAATGAGCATTGTTGCTGATGTTGGTATTTGGAATTCAGGTACCGATAATTGTTAACAGTAGTCCCCATATATTTACTATTCGGAAGTCTAGATGAATATTTATTAGTCATTAATTCCGTACACTAACAGCATAGCTAGACAATACAATGCCTTTAAATGAAACTAAGTTTATCGGATAATCACTCGTTTTTTCTTATTGAATTTCTTTTTATTAATGAATGTTTCGATTCATCTGAAAGTTATCAAGGTTGCTAAAAAGTTAATGAAACGTCAGGAAAATGGTAAAATGAACAAAATTTAAAACGATTAGTTTATTCGAAAAAAAAAATAGTTCATTTAAATAAAAACACCAGAAAATATATTTTATTGTATCAGAAATTATTTTTCTAGTTTATTTGGTATATTGTCATTGCAATTCGTGATAACTCACCCGATATACATTTATGTATATCTTGTTTAGATAAAACTTTGTATTGTAAGAAGATACATTGCAAGAATGTTTAAGGTACCAGGTCATTTAAATATAAATATAATGAGTAAATTGGAGATATTTAGTTGTAAAAAGTGTATGGGAATTCCATAAATGTTTAAAATGATGAAATAAAACTATGGAGTATCATGTCAATCTTACAAGTTTGTTAAAATTATCAAAGAGTTATGACGACGTTCATAGGAGAAAGCAGAGAACAAAAAGAATATACATAATATATAAAGAACTTGAGTTCTTTGAATATCGAATTAGTCATGCAACTTTTTGTTAAAACTAATTAATATTCATACACGCCAACAAATTTCCAATGTATAACTATTTTATGATTAAAAATTTAATTTCAAATGTTGTAAGGAAACGTGAATGTGAATGTTAAATGTGAATTTAATTGGAAAACTTCGTAAAAAATTGGCTCTTTGATTTAAATCTTTGAATTTCTATTACGTAACATAACATTACTAAATAAGAGTTTACTTGGAAAACCACACTATTAATAAGTTATATTAAATTTCCTAAAACCAAAATTATAATTGTAATATATTTTTGCTATATAAAGATGAGTTTTGTTTATTAAATGTATGACTTATTTTTAAAATTCAAAGCCCAAATTGATTTCACCAGTCAAATTAAAAGTGCATTAAATTAAAAGTTCCAGAATCTGTATAAACTATAAGCAAAACAAAAACAATGTTTAGTCAATTAACCTTGTTACAGAGGATCTTAGATCATAATGAGCTTCTATAGAAACTGTGGGAAGTGTCTTGTGGTGATGTCGTCAGTGTCACTAATTAGGTGACACTCGAGTTAGTGTAGGCTAGAGTGCTGTTTATATGGAGTCTATAATTACCTGAAATCAAAAAGAATTTTATTTAACCGTGCCGTTCTTATAGATCAACAGACATTTTTCTTTTTTTAAAGATAAAAAGAAGTATCATGATTGAGATGATTAACAATTTTTAGGTACTTTGATTAATATAATGCTTATAGAATAGAAGTTGATAATTTTTAGTGGACACAAAATATGGTTCTTTTTTGTCAATACATTTAACTTGTCTTATATTGAAATAAGAAAACGTCTTATTGGTGATATAAGTTTTTGGGAAGTAAAACATTCTACGAAAACTTAACCGCAAGAGAAAATCTCCATTCGTTTGTATGCCGCTAGAGTGAGAGAGACGGAAGATCGGTCCACTCACTCGAACGCTATGCCTGCCTCCGCTCGTGAGGATTCCGCGTGACAAGTTTCACGGAATGACTGGCAGCGCTCGAGATGAGACGGGAGATCGGTCCATCTCTCTCTCGTTATACCTGCGATCGCGCTCGTGAGGTTTTGGTGTGACACAAGTTTCTGAACATGTCACCCGACTAAAATGATTTAAAAGACGTTATCACGTCAAAATGGAAGCAAATTCATTTCGATGACGAATAATAAATAATTATATGGTGAACTACAAACTAATTGTCATACTCTATGACAAGAGCCTCGCTATACATAAAAGGTTGGTGAAACAAAGGACACGGTCTGTTTTTGCCAGGACCAGTAAGTTATATATGTAATTTATGATGAACAAAGATTAGAACTTATGTTTGAGGGATAATATTAAATATTATTTTATTTTAAAGAAAATAAAAGAAGCGATTGTACCTAAAAAACATTGAAGGAAAATATATTTTCAATTAAGGAAGTTATTATAACAAAACTTTGTTATTATTTTTATGAAGATATTAATTTGCTTTTTATGAATTTTATATAATTTGTATATAAAGACATAAAACATCACTGTTATTTATTAAATAAAAATATTCACAAAATAAAATTATTGACAAAATAAAAATATTCACAATAATCCTTAAGAAATATTATATTTATAGTTAACACTAAAACAGTAAAATAGTAAGTCAGTGGTTAAAAGGACCGCCTCTCATGCATGAGAACGCGGGTTCGATCCTGACCCTGACAAGCACCAAAGTGACTTTTCCGAGTCATATGTACTTTTTAAGAGTATTTAGACATCACTGATTAATGTTTTCCCAAAGACTGTTGATGTTACGCAGGCGGCCGGTCGTAAAAACAATTAGCTTACAAGTTATTCACAATATGTAACGCAGACCCTGGCTAAAGCTGGGAAATTTCCAGGCAGAAGAAGAAGTCAACAGTAAAACAATAAAAACAGTATAGAGACGAAACCTCTTAGCATTCAATGGATTCACCGTGCGGGTGCCGGGTCCATCGCATTGCAGGGAGAGGAGCTTCAACAGTGTCTGGGACTTGCGACCCAGGTGTAGGTTTAAGGGGCCCCTTAACTAACGCGCGTTATACTCTCACCTCCACTGTCCAAGTTCCTCTCCCTACCTAACCAAATTTGAAAAGAACGTACTAGGGCTGCCTTCGACGTACGTTCCAAGAATGAATTAATGTTAGTTCTGGACAGGCCCAAGTCTTTTAGTAGGTTATAGAGAGATTTAGCTGTTATACCTCTCGCTCCCACCTCTACCGCGTACAAATCAACGATGAACCTATTTCGAGTTAGTTCGTTAGTGAGCTCGTAATACTTATTGACCTTGATGGCATGGTCTTTGGGGATGTTGGTTTCCCAAGGCACCGTAAGCTCTATCATCACAACGCGCTTTAAAATACGCGAATATAGAAATATGTCTGGTCTGGAGGCCGACGCACAAATATCCTCGGGGATTTTGTATTGTTTCTCATACGTATCCATAATGATAGTCCAATCCGAAGCCGCTTTAAGGATAGAGTAAGGCTTGACGTTTGATTTTATAGCCCAGGTGCCCTCTCTCACAAAACCTATTGATCGCTCGTTTGTGGTTATTTCCCTTTGCGCTCTGGCTACCGAAAGACTAACCGCTTCACGTATGATCTCTAAAACCCTATCGTAACGACGCGAGTATTGACCGCTGTCCAGGAGAACCTTACATCCCACCAGCAAATGCTTAGCAGTTCCAACTGCCTTTCCGCAGATATAGCAAGTTTTTTCGGTACCTTTACCCCATCTTACTAAATTACTCTGATCTGGGAGAGTCATCTGGAACGCATTGAGATAAAATTTTAGCAAGGCTGGCGACCAGTCATGAATTAGGGTGCGCCATTTTAGTGCTAGTGGAATGCAAAAATCTCCTATGTCTAACCACTCGTTTTGCATTTCTAAACTCATTGCATGGATCTTGTATTTATCGTTCTCGTCTTGCCGAATAAAAGACTTCAATATATCCGTATCTTGGACTTTCCTACTTGATCCTAACCCTACTCTGTTATTTTGCGCTCCGATCATAAATTGTTTATGGAATTGAAGTCGTGACTCTAGTAGCTCTGGGGCATCATTGTCTTTTGGGAGTGATGTAACGACGTCATCATGGGATTTTCCCAGGATATGTCTCTTGGAAACTCTTAGGTGTTTGTAGAGCTCCGATGGTCTTTTTAGATTCATCCCAAAACTTATTATGTTATTTAATATATAAATATTATTTTTAATATTTAAAATAAGATTGTCATATTTGAATTAAAATTTACGCTGGATTCAATTTTGAGATCTTACTGACTATAACTGTTAAAAAAATATAATAATTTCTAAGTAATAAAATATGAAATAATGATTCACAAAGAAATTATGAAACGCAATAAGGATTAAAACCATCGGTTTTGATGTATGACACTTCTTATATAAAAGCAATTTTGAGATAAATAATTCATTAATGGGAATTAACTAAGATAAAACTAATCGATCCAAGATTACAGATAGAGCTATTTGGAAAAGTGATTGAATAAATTTAAAAAGTTTTGAATAAATACAAATATGAAAATAATTAATAAGAGTCATAAAAAATATAACGCATAAGTAATCTATAATAATTCAGTAAAAATTTATAAAAACCTTATTATACCTTTTGAGTTATACAAGACCGGTAGAACTTTATTAAGTATACATATATAAGGTAAGACGGGTATTGAAGTTATATGAGCGTAAGTTATTCATAGCAAATCAAAAATATAAAAAAAACTTCATTAATTCTAACAAGGTATCTGAGTTAACTTAATAAAAGCAATCTAAACGTGACCTGTTTAAAATGTGTACTACTCGCGTTCTCGTGTGTTCTTATAAATTATGGAATAATTTATTCTTAGACATAGTACATTCAAAATAAATCAAAATCATTTCTTAAAATGATTCGTTTGCTTTAGATCTTGGAATAAGAAATTTAACCTTCAAACTTTCACCACCGTTTCTAATAGAACAAAACCTGCAAGCTCCGAATTTTAATTGATTACTTTATTTCTTATGCGACTCCATCTTAAACTCAATCAAGGAGTTTTACTACGAAACAGGTCAATAGCATCGGGATTAAATAATAAAATACAAATGGATATTTGGACCGGAGCAAAACCAGATGTTAGTAATCTACTCGTATTTGGGAATAGGGCTATGGTGGCGGTGCACATAAAAAAGGAAAAACGGTTGAAAATGGACAAATTTCGCAAATTATAAAAATAAACACTATGTGTCCAGTCTATTGTGTGAAATTTCATTAAGTTAATAAATACGGTATAAAAATAATAATTTTATTCCGATGTTAAATTTGGATGGTGAGTTAGTTTTTCTAACAATTGAAAGCTAATAGCTGAGTGCACCTACGAGTATGTATGTGTCCATTGAACGAGTTCATAGTAACGTGTGTGAACTAGTTGAAAATTGTGTGCTCTCAATAGATAAACGGAGTTAATGGACCGTGATAGAGAATTGAATCCCGGCTCGCTGATATAAGAGCTTTACCGAACGTATGTTTTGAGGGTGAAGCAATTTTAAAAACATTTATTTATAATTGGCTTGTCACTAACAGGGTGAGATTAAAGTAAAACAAGTTTGTGATATGGCGAGTATGTTAATGTTTATTGGAAAATATGTGAATGATACGCGAGAAGCGAAGTTTATTAAAGTTTAAAAATATTAAATAATACATATATTCAAGTTTATTTATGAATTTCTTTTACAAGTAAATGCTGTAGTGTTATTATTATTCTCAAACATACATTTTGTGTCCAAAAATTTTATTCGTAGCATCACAGCAATTATTGTGTTACACTTATATAATCCTAATAATTTGTTTAGTTTATATTGTCTCTGTATAGATACTAGCTTTTGCCCGGGACTTTGTCCGCGTTAGTTTCATAATTAGAACTGTATAACTATCCTGTGAAGATGAACTGCTTCGATTTAGAGGCATTAAATGAACAGATCTTGGATTTTATTAGCAACTTGTTTTTTGGTGGAACAAAGTCAAATTATAGCCAAATAGCTATTCTTGATATAAATAGTGTTACTAACACGAATTTTTAACATACATATATAGATTTATTAAGACCGTAAAATTTGAACATTTTAATTAAATAAAACTACATTTGATCTTGTAAATCTCCGATATCCAAAGATTTATTTCGTTTTTTTAACATAGTTGTAAAGCGTAACTCAATTCTGAAGCTTGTTATAATCCCTTCAAATTCTATGAACAAATTATTCTTAACGGACTTGATTTTAGTCCTAGAGTCTGAACCAAAGATTAATAATTGCATTTTTCTTGTTAATATATCGCATCTATATACATATATACGTGTATATATATATATATATATATATATATATATATATATATATATATATATATATATATGCGATATACTTTATGGGTTGATCTTGGTCTGATAATGAAACGAATAAAATTATTAAAAGATGAACTGTTAACATAAATTGATTTTTTTTCTTTTAAACATTTCATATCAGTGAAATATTTCATTTTACAAACAATGTTTACTATCTATCAGTTCAATAAACCCAAGGCATGAGAAAATTTAGAATAATTTATAAATACATTTGTCCAGATGCTCTGAAGGAAAATACTAGGAAGGAATTTCATAAAATAGCGATAGGAATCCGGAATTTCCTTTAAAATTCAAAGTATATATTTGGTTTTCAAAAACTTTTTACATTCACTACTTGTTAGGGATATCAAGTTCATTAAAAGTACACTATTGTTCTTGCAAAAAGAGAATAAATTAACTTCAATACTTAAACACAATTACATACATACAGCTTCATTATACTATGTTAGTAAGTTCCTTGTTATTTTGTAATTAATATTTCATAAAATCGGCTGAGAGACCTTAATATATTGCCCATTATTTTTTTCTTCATTACATATTGTATGAAATATTTTATTTTGTCACATGTATTGATATAGTTTAAATTACGATACATATATTCCTATATGTCATTTTGCTAATAATTCTTACCGATAAATACATCCAATCCAATTTGATGACATAATATAAGAGACGAAACCTCTTAGCATTCAATGGATTCACCATGCGGGTGCCGGGTCCATCGCGTTGCAGGGAGAAGAGCTTCAACAGTGCCTGGGACTTGCGACCCAGGTGTAGGTTTAAGGGGCCCCTTATCTAACGCGCGTTATACGCTCACCTCCACTGTCCAAGCTTCTCTCCCTACCTAACCAAATTTGAAAAGAACCTACTAGGGCTGCCTTCGATGTACGCTCCAAGAATGTATTAATGTGAGTTCTGGACAAGCCCAATTTTTTTAGTAGGTTGTAGAGAGATTTCGCTGTTATACCTCTCGCTCCCACTTCTACCGCGTACAAATCCACGATGAACCTATTTCGAGTGAGTTCGTTTGTGAGCTCGTAATATTTGTTGACCTTGGTGGTATGGTCGAATACAAAAATATATTTGGTCTGGAGGCCGACGCACAAATATCCTCGGGGATTTTGTATTGTTTTTCATACGTGCCATCATTATAGTCCATCCGACGCCGCTTTAAGGATGGAGTAAGGCTTGACAATTGATTTTGTAGGCCTAGTTCCTTCTCTCACAAAACCTACTGATAAATTGTCACTCAAATTACGAACTTGAAAAACTGATTTGTAAATGATACAACGTTATTATTTGAAATTTGTCAGACAACATTATAAACACTTTGAATATGAACCATATTTGACAAGTTAAAACACTTTATAAAGTAGTTTAGTATCGAAACGTGATGTTATCCAACCTATAGTGTATATTACTGCCTTCAAACATGTTTAATATTCATTTATAACTCTTTAGACTTGGGAAAATTGTGAGTAAAGAAATAATCGGGTAATTGAGTTCAACTTTAATTTTTATAATTGCTAGAATAAAGAAAGAACCTTTAATTGAAATACCTGATTAAACATATAAATGCAGACAATCAATACTTTTCCATAGTAACATATTTACTATATTTATCGTTTGAAATCTCTTATCAATTATTAAGAAAATAAGGTCTTTAAACTATTTCATACAATTTAAACATAAATAAGTAATAAAACGACTACTTCTTAAAGCCATTAATCAAGTTATTAAAACAAAATTAACAATTTTTGAATTTTTTTATTCGTCAATATATGTAATAGATTTAAAATTAATTAACTCAAAAATTTGTTTCTATCTGAGGGAGAGTATATGAAATATTTAAACATTTTCAATATCGATGAGGTTATAAAAGATATTTATTACTTAAAATTTATATTCAAGTAGGAAAACTAAAAGAAATGCAATAATTTGATCCTAACTACTATTAAATTGAGGACAAGTAAGAATGATATAAAAGCAAACATAGTATAAATTAAAAATGTCGAATAGAGTGCAAAAATGTTAACCCAATACTTTTTAACAAGATGTCAACTGATGTTCGCTGCCTGCAACATGAACTCACTTACATACGAGTGATATTTGCTCACTTCACATCGCGTATTTGAGGTGTGTTATGATTTGATGTTACTAATGTTTGGAAAGTAGTTAAATAAATGAACGAGTCGATTTTCACATTCATGTTTTAATAATTTTTTTATAAGGTACAAGTGAAAACACATTATTAGTGAACAATTTAAAATATCACGAACGTACTGAATGAAAAATATGTGTGAATTTCAAATTTTTTTCAGTGCGCTGGGCAACTGTACATAGTCTACTAGACATAATTTTCCACTATCTAAAGCAGTGTAACATTTTATAGGCTATGAAGTCAATAGATTCGCCGAAATCGATCGTCAGATTTATAAATACTGTGAAGGTGCATTTTTGATTTAAAAAAACAAATTTTACAACTTACAATGAACGACACTACCTGCTTATAATTTAAATCCGATTTTCTTTAATTAAACATTGAAATCATAAGACGTGTCATCACATAAATAACTCGTTGATTCTCATTTTATTGTATTCTATAAAAAAGAACTACATATATTTTTACCTTGAATTTTTGTCTTGTCATCTTTTAAGAGATAAAATTAGGTACTTTACATTCATAAAAAGAAACATAATTTATAAAAATAAAACGAAACAGAATAGACTTTTACCTTTTAAAATATTAATTAATTTCCTTTTAACTTAAATAAT